GGGGCATGGGCGGGGTCAGGTCGGGCGTGGTCGGGCGTGGCCGCGCGCTAGGGAGCTGACCAGCTCCGTGGCTGCTGAAAACACCGGGAGCGGAGCAAGTGGCGCGGGAGGGCAGGCGCGCTCAAGGTCACCCCGCGGCCCAAAGCCTTGGCGGGTTGGGGCGCCTGGACCTGGCCTAGGGGGCCTGCCTGAGTCCTTCACCCCATTCCCCGGGGGGCGAGGGCACAGCAGCCGGGAAGTCCCCCCCGTGGGCGCTCCTCTCCCCTCCCCCTCCCCGCAGCCTGAGGCGCCCGCGCGATGCTACGGCCCGCGAAGAAGCGCCGAGAAACAAAGAGACGCGGCGGCGGCGGTGGCGGGCCCGCGGGGCCTCCGGGCGCGCCCCCTCCTTTCCCCTCCCCGCTTGCCGCAAGGTCGACGGGCTCGAGGACGAGACGCCCGGATCCCGGGCGCGGCAGAGGCCCGGGGCGCGAGATCCGACGCCACCGGCTCCCCAGGACTCACGGGGACGCCTTGACGCCTGGTCCTGGCCCAGCACCAGTGATTGGGGCCCTGCGTTTGCCTGGGCGGCCTGCGGGGTCCAGGCCTGGATGGAGGAGATATCCTCCGCCGCCACGGCCCCTCCCCCATTCGGCCTGCTGGAGGGCGGGCAATCTCGTCCCCAGGGCGTTGTAGGATGCCCCACGAATCGCAGCTTGGCTCCCTAAGGCCTCTTTGGCCAGGCTCTAAGCGTCCTCAGCACTCTGGGCGCGGCTCTGCCCACTCTCAGGCCCCGAGGCTCGATCCTACACCCCCCTCCCAACTGGGCCTAGCTAGGCCTGGTCCTACCCCCCCACCTCCATCTCCGCGGAGCCTGTGCCTAACCCCTTCCGGACCAGATTCCCTCGCAGCGACAGGGGAATACCTACAGTGACCATTCTTGTGTGCCCGGCGGGCGCGGTCCGTGTTGAGGGCGGCTCCGGGGGTCGTGCACTCCTTGGGGGGCGCTCGATGCTCACACAGGGGTCCTACCCGGGCGGCCTCAGGCGTGGCCTCAGGTGTCGGTGAAAGCAGGAGCTCCCTCGAGGGCCGGAGACGGGCCTGAGCCCGGGGGAGCGCGCGCGGATAACCGAGCTCCGAGGTGGTCTGCGGGTGGCAGGGGATGAAAAGAGGGAGCGGGCGCGGGAGTGAGGAGGCCCCGTGCGCGGCCCCGCGGGGCCCGGGGAGTTTGCTCTTCCCAACAAAGATCACGGCGCTCTGTTTTTTGCCGCTGCCCCTCAGCCCGGCTTGTCCGGTTCTGGGTGCTCAGTCCTCTTCCCTCGCCCG